CAGGCACATAATCAAACTCTTACAACAATTAACTACATAGCAACACCCTTTATAGTTCAAGATGTTGCATGGTACATGGACTCTGGCACTACAGACCATGTTACCTCTGATTTTTCTCAACTCATAACAAGCTCAAACTACTCGGGAAGTGAGCAACTTCAGGTTGGAAATGGTGAGCTTCTTTCAATTTCACATACTAGTTTTGTAGTGTTATTTTGTGCACATAGGATACTACATCTTAGACATGTTTTATTTGTACAAAATATTACCAAAAACTTGCTTAGTGTTTCAAAGTTAACTCATGATAATGATATCCTGGTTGAATTTTTTTATGATCATTGTGTTATCAAGGACGAAATATCCAAAGCCACCCTTCTTCAAGGAATTCTTAAGGCTGGTTTGTACTAACTTCAAGTTCCAACCTACTCCAATTCTACTTCAGCTATTGCTAAGCTTCCTTCTCTCAATTTCCAATCACACAATAACAATTCTGCCTTATTTCTTCACTCTAGTCATAAGAATTCTAGTCCATTATCGCATATATCTCACTTGTTTCCTTTATTTTCAAATAAATTTACTACTGTTTTTCATTCTAATAAGGATCAACATGGTACTAAATGTATTGATCCCTTTGTATCTAGTCTTTTATCGTCTGCTGATGTAGTGCCTATTATCAAAAAAAACTATTGTTTTATAGCCCTCAATTGGTGTGAAATCTAAGTTAACTGAACCTAATGAATTTAAATCTTTTCCTATCCAAAAAACTGACATTATGGGATGGCAAAAACAGCTAGGACATCCCAATGTAGTAGTGCTCACAAATATTCTTAAACACCTGGAAATTCCCTTTCATAACAAACATGATATCATTTTTGCCAAGCCTGTCAATTTGGCAATTTGCACAAATCTGTTTATCCTAAATCCACCTTTCAAGCTTCCAAACCTCTTGAACTCATATATTCAGATCTTTGGGCACCTTCTCCTATCCCCTCACTCGAAAGATTTAAGTATTATATCCAATTTTTGGACGATCACACCAGATTTACTTGGATTTTCCTTTAAAAACCAAATCTAAAACTTACACTATTTTTACCAAACTTCACAAATTAGTTGAGAAAAAATTTGACAACTCCTTGAAATGTGTCCAAACTAATTGAGGGGTGAATATAGGAGCCTAGTATCCTATTTTAAAGATCATGGTATTCTCTTTTGACACCCTTGCCTACACACTCATCAACAAAATGGAAAGGTAGAAAGGAAACACAGACAACTTGTTTAACAAAGGTTAACACTCCTGGCTCAGGCCAGCATGCCTCTTAAATTTTGGTGGTTTGCCTTTCAAACAGCTGCCTATCTCACAAATAGACTTTCTACACCTGTCTTGAACAATTTGCCCCCTTTCCAAAGGTTATTCAAAACTGTCCCTGACTATTCTACCATCAGGATCCTTGGATGTGCAGTTTACCCTTTTCTTAGACCTTATAATGCCTATAAATTTAACTTTCACACTGAAAAATGCACTTTTGTTGCTTATAAGTGTCAAACCGGTCGTCACAGCCACAAAATTAAACATAAATACCGTAGTTAGAGGTAAGCAGGGTCGAATCCACAGGGAGCAAGACTAACAACCTAATGTATTTTGAGTAGCAGAAATGAAATTGGCAATTGATTAATGAAACTAAACAAACTAAATGCAAACAATAAAATGTGAAATTAAAACTAATAAAGACTTTATAATAAAAATGTTGCCGTTACGATTTTGGTTAGACACAAGACCGACTCACGCAATTCTCCTCCACCCTCTACGATCCCCTAAACCTACAAGGCAAGGTAAATCAATGAAATGGCTTCTTGACACTCTAGGTATAATCGATCCTGTCTCACCCGATCACTCAAGTTCGATTGGTTAAAGACTATCATTGAACGCCGATAAACGCTACAAGGCAATACCACTCATTGGTATGATATTAACAAATAAAATTTGTCAACACGTATATTCCAATCAACCAACTTCACAATAAACGCAACAACAGTAGAAATTAAATTAAATCCGAACACAACTCAATTACAATCGATGCGAAGTAACGAAAAGCAATATTCATCATTTAATTATTTCAAACCAATGTTTATCATTCAGCAAGTTCTATGAAAACATTAAATCATAATGGACAACAATATTCATCACAAGTTATGCTCAAATCATATTAAAGTATCGAAATCAAACATGAAACGAAAAAAAATATAATCCGAAGCACAATACTACCAAATGTCCTATAATCGGGCTCATCCAACTAGTCGAGAGCTAATGAGCAAAGTCGTGGAGTCAATCTCGATCTTGCCTATGCCGTAACAGACAACCGGGAAGTTAGCCGCTCATAGTGGTGATGATGGAGGCTGAAACGGTGGAAACGAAGCTGATCATGGCGGAGAGGAAGTAACTAACAACGATATGATGCGAAGAAGGGGCGAAAACAACCAACAGAAAGCCCGGAATACGAATAGCCGCACTCGCCAGAAAACGTTAATTTTCCGACGAGTCTTCCTGAAAATGGTGGCGGAAATGGGATCCGAAGGTACCGATGGAAAGCTCTTATGATGGGGAGTTCAGATCAGGTCTTGGGGAGGTGAAAAGTCACCGGAAATGAGCAAGATTTGGGCTGGAAGATGAAGAGTCGCGGTGGCTAGATGGCTGATTCTGGCGGTTTTTGCGGCGGCTGAAGCTTGGGATGTGTAGATCCAGCCGTGGGGAAGGGAGATCAACCTTCAAGGAGCCCAAACATCGTTGAAAAACGGCAAAATCTGGCCTGGAATGCGAAGAGTCACGGTGGTGGAAGATGAAACGTCGCGGCAGCAGTGATAGTTCTCACGGTGGTGATCCGGGACGATGGAGATGATGATGATCTGTGCACGAGGAAGCCGAACCATCGCCGGAGGTCACCGGAAAGGAAGATGAAGTCTCGCCAGAAAATGGATGAACAGCACCTCCCTTGTACGCGACCTTTCATTTTCATTTTATAGATGACCTGTAAAATATCACTTTGGTCCCTGCATGATTGAAAATTGACAAAATCAACCCTTGTAAATATGATAGTTTACCCCCTAAACAACATAAATGAGACAAAATCACCCCTAATCCATAAACCACAACCTAATATCAACTCATATCCTTTCCAAAATCATTCCAAACACGTTAAATTCATAAGAAAAATATTAGGAAGTGATTTTCGTGAATAAATTCATAAATTCTTTAATTGTCTCAATATATTTCAATTTAATCACACATGGGGTATTTTTATCGCCAAAATAGAGTCACTTTCATAACTCTAACACACTCCCCAACTTACTATTTGCTCGTCCTCGAGTAAAGTTAAAAAAACTCTTTCAACATTCTCACCAAACCATACACAACCATATTCATTAACAAACAAGACATTCATCAAAAGGTAAAGTGAAAAATTTGAACATAATAAGTAAATAACACAATCTTAAATAAAGAACTAAAGTTTCCATCAAGATTTGCCTATCTCCAGTAAAGCTTCTCAAACACACATTTCATATTCATATCACAATGTTAAAATGTCATGCAAAACTCCCCAACTTATGTACATGCAACATAATGCTCATTTTCCACACAAGATTTTGACATATTATTTCTTTTCATTCATCACTTGTTTGTATTTTTTTTTTTCTTGTCTTAACTTCTTAAGCTTTCTAGAAGGTCCGTGTAATGGGCTTTAGGTCAATGACTCCCAAACTAGGTGGCTATAGGGCACTAAGTGTAGAACACTCCTCGAACTTACTCACTCGAACCAACTAGGCTGCAAGTCAAGACTTTATTTCTTTATTTCTTTTATTTTATTTTTTTTTTATAAAGCTTATGATCTATGTAATGACTTCTTAAGCTTTCTAGAAGACCCATGTAACGAGTTTTAGGCCAACCACTCCCAAGCTAGATAGCTTTAGGGGATTAGGTGTAGAACACCCCTCGGGCGTACTCACTCGAGTCAACTAGGCTACAAATCAAAACCAAATCATCAAGCAACATTTAAGCACTTTTAACACACGCAAGATAATAAATGAAACTTTGCTCCATGGGCATGTAAAGTGTGTGGGAGACTTGCATAAACACTAAAACATATGACATTTACACAAAACGATGTCTAACCACAATTATGGACAAACCTAGCACAAAATAGAACCAATAGTGCAATGTTTAAGACCATGTTGCAACAAACAATTTTCAAAAACCTCACAAAACCTTTCAACTAGCATCTCAATTGCTTCAAAAAGGGTGATTATGCATGAATTCATGAAAATTTTAAAAATAACTCACTTTAGTTCACTTTAACCACTTTTGGACTTAAAAGAGTAAGATTCAACATATTTTCAACAAAAAACATCATCATGCCACAAAAATTTAAGCACAATCCATTCAACATACAATTTCCACAAAAGCATCATCAACAACACTTCACAAAAATATCACAATTTCCACAAAAGCATCATTAACAACACTTCACAAAAATAAAATCATCAACAACACTTCACAAAGCTATCACAATCTCCACAAAAGCATCATCAACAACACTTCACAAAAATATAAAATCAAATCAACACTCCCCAACTTAAAATGTCATTGTCCTCAATGACCCACAACTACAAATATCCTCCCCAACTTAGCATCAAATGATCTCAAATGGCAATATGATCAATAACATTAAAATCGTCCAACATATTTGAGAAACAAGAAATCTAACAATAATAGCATATAAGGTGGAGAGATACAACCTGAGGAACAATGGTGGGGCTGTCATCAACAGAGTTTGTGGAGCATGCATAAGCTTAGCCTTGGACTAGTTAATGAGTTTCCAAACATGACAATCCTGCGAAGAGAAAAATAACAAAAACATAAAAGCAGTAAAAACATATTTACAAAGGTGGGTTGCCTCCCACAAGCGCTAAGTTTAAAGTCTTCAGCCAGACTCAGTGCACTAAAATGGCTAATGTGGTTTTAAGAAAGAACACTCCTCAATCACCTCTCCATCATTAATGCCATCAGCATAAAGTTTAAGTCTTTGGCCATTCACCTTAAAAACTTGTCCCGTTTTTGGGTTTCGGATTTCAACAGCTTCGTGAGGGAAAACATTAAGAAAAATAAAAGGGTCATACCATCGTGACCGAAGCTTCCCCGGAAAGAGGCGAAGCTTAGAGTTAAAGAGCCACACTTTTTGATTAGGAGAGAATGACTTCCTAACAATGTGTTTACCGTGAAAAGCTTTAGTCTTCTCTTTAGAGATACAAGAGTTCTCATAAGCTTCGTGTCTTAGCTCATCTAACTCCAAAAGTTGGAGTTTCCTATGGTCACTGGCCGTGGTCATATCAAAATTGAATTTCCTTGTGGCCCAATATGCTCTATGTTCAAGTTCTACAAGTAAATGACATGTTTTCCCAAAAACTAACCGATAAGGGGACATGCCAATAGGGGTACGATATGCAGTTCGATAGGCCCAAAGTGCATCATTCAGACACATTGACCAATCCTTACGATCGGGCCGTACCATTTTCTCTAAGATAGTCTTAATTTCCCTATTAGCACGTTCCAATTGTCCACTAGTTTGAGGGTCATAAGGTGTGGCAACTCGATGGGTGATTGAGTACTTTTTCAATAGTGACCAAAGTGCCTATTGGTGAAATGTGAGCCACCATCACTGATAATGGCGCGGGGATGACCGAAATGGCTAAAGATGTGCGATTGAACAAAGTTGACGACCACCCTATGATCATTGGTTCTAGTGGCAATGGTTTATACCCATTTAGACACATAATCGACTACAAGAAAGATATATTTAAAGCCAAAAGATGAGGGAAATGGACCCATAAAATCAATACCCCACACATCAAACACTTCCACAATCAAAATAGGATTCAGGGGCATCATATCTCGTCTACTAGTATTCCCTACTTTTTGACATTAAGTACAAGCACGACGATAAAAGAATGCATCACAAAAAGGAGAGGGCCAATAGAAACCACACTAGAGGACCTTTAACGCAGTCCTCTTGCCACTATAATGACCACCACAAGCATAAGAATGACAAAATGCAAGTACACTACTACACTTGTGGTCGGGAACACATCTCCTACCTATTTGGTTTGCACACACCCTGAAAAGGTCTAGGCCTTCCCAAAAATAATGCTTGATGGTTGCAAAGAAATGATCTTTCTAAGTTTTGGTCCACCCTAATGGTAATTGTCCAACGGCCAAGTAATTGACTATATGGGCATACCAAGGTGCTTTGGATTAGGATATCGCAAACAGTTGCTCATCTGGGAAAGATTCATTCAAACATTGACTAGGGACATACTCTGTAAAGAGTCTAGACAAGTGGTCAACGACCACATTATCGCTACCCTTTTTATCTTTGATTTCTAGATCAAACTCTTACAACAACAAAATCCATCGAATTAGTCTAGGCTTAGTGTCTTTCTTGGCTAACAAATACCTAACTGCAACATGGTCTGTAAAGACAACTATCCTAGACCCAAGAAGATAAGACCGGAACTTATCAAGGGAAAACACTACTGCAAGCAACTCTTTCTCCGTAGTGGTGTAATTACATTGAGCATTGGAGAGGGTCTTGCTTGCATAATAGATTACAACGGGCTTTTTATTCTCCCGTTGGCCAAGGACTGCACCAATGGCATAGTCCAATGCATCACACAACACTTCAAAAGTTAGGTTCCAATCAAGAGGTTGCATGATGGGTGCTGTGGTCAACGCTTCCTTCAAAATGGTAAAGGCAATCATACAAGAGTCATAAAAAAACAAATGGCACATCTTTAGTAAGCAAATCACACAAAGGCTTGGAGATCTTGCTAAAATTCAGGATGAAACGCCTATAAAATCTTGCATGGCCTAGGAAATATCTAATTTGTTTGACTGACGAAGGCGGTGATAGTTGAGAAATCAACTCTACCTTTGCCTTATCCACTGCTATCCCCTCCTTGGAAACTAAATGACCTAAGACAATTCCCTCTTGAACCATGAAATGACTCTTTTCCCAACTAAGAACAAGATTTGTCTCTTTACAGCGTTTCAACACCAACTCAAGTTTTTCAAGACAATCATCAAAAGAGGCAGCAAACACAGAAAAATCATCCATGAAGACTTCAAGGAATTGACCCACCATGTCAGAAAATATCGATAACATGCACCTTTGAAACGTTGTCGGTGCATTGCATAACCCAAAGGGCATATGACGAAAGGAAAACGTACCAAAAGGACATGTGAACGTGGTCTTTTCCTGGTCTTTGGGGGCAACTGGTACTTGGTTATATCCAGAATAGCCATCCAGAAAACAATAGAAAGCTTGCCCTACAAGTTTTTCTAGGATTTGGTCAATAAATGGGAGCGGGAAATGATCTTTCCTAGTGGCTAGGTTGAGCTTCCTATAGTCAATGCAAACTCTCCATCCTGTGGGAGTATAGGTAGGAATTCGCTCACCTTTTTTATTTTCAACAACGATGAGGCCACTCTTCTTAGTTATAACATGGGTTGGACTCATCCATTGGCTATCGGTTATAGGGTAGATGATACCCGCATCAAGCCATTTGATCACTTCTTTCTTCACCACCTCCTTCATGTTCGGGTTTAACCTTCTTTGAGCTTCATAGACCGGTTTAACATTCTCCTCACAAAATATGCGATGCATGCACAAAGAAGGGCTAATCCCTCACAAATCGGCTACCAACCAACCGATTGATTCCTTATGTGTTGTCAAGACCGCCACTAATCTCTCCTCTTGCTCGCTATCTAAGTTGGCGACAATGATCACGGGTAAGGTCTTATTGGGTCTTAGGAAAACATACTTTAAAGTATTAGGCAAAGCCTTAAACTCTAAGACTGGCGAAGACTCAATTGACCTCGGTTGTGTCGTCTTAGACAAAGTTGGTAAGGGTTCATACTTGATGTTCCAAGGTCGACGCTCTAGAGTGGGCGACCTAGCTATATACGCACTAACCTCCTTAATCTCAGACACTACACTCAAGCTAGATATCTCCTCAACAAATGGATTCATAAGAGTGTAAATTGCATCATCACATAACATCTGTGGGGCGTGAGCCTCCACTAGACTATCAATAGTATCAACCATGAAACACTCGTTATCGTCTCACGCATCGGTCCTAAACCAGCATTAAACACATTAAGTCTCAGTTTCCTATTCCCAAAAGACACTTCTATCTCTCCTGATCTACAGTTAATGCACGCATTTACCATTGCTAGAAAAGGTCTCCCTAAAATGATCGGTGGCATACTTCCACTACTTGTATACTCCATCTCTAAGACAAGAAAATCCACCGAAAAATATAGTTCCTCAACCTTAACTAACACATCCTCAATTAGGCCCCTAGGCATTTTGACCGATCGGTCAGCTAACTGTAGTATGACTTCAGTCGACTTGAGCTCACCTAAGTTAAACTGTTCATACACGGAAGTGGGTAATAAGTTCACGCTCGGCCCTAAGTCTAAGAGTGCTCTATCAATCTGACATTACCTATCACACAAGAAATAATAGGAGCTCCAGGATCCTTTAACTTCGGGGGAATACGGTTTGAGACAACTGCACTTACATTTTCTGGTAAATGTACAGTCTTAGGTGTGTGAGATTCATTTTCCTCTTTTGCGTGCACAAGTCTTTGAGGAATTTGGCATAAGTAGGTACTTGCTTAATGGCATCTAAGAGTGGAATGTTAATCTGCACTTGTTTAAACAACTCAATCTTTTCCTCCATCTTAGCGCTTTTCCTAGTAGTGGGAACATTTGGGGGCTTTAAGCACTGAGGAAAGGGTGCTCTCAGTATGTACGATGCAGGGGATGGTTCATTCTCCCCAACTTTTTCCTTACCTGGTCTCTGAACACTTGACTCTACAAGTGGCTCACTCTCACTCTCTTTGGCTTGATCCCTACATAGACTTTCCTCTTCTCTACCCTGGAGTTTTACTTCCCTCTCAAGCCTAATTAGCTCTTAACCGCTCCAGAGAGTCATCACGGCCTTAGCTTGTTCAGAAAACCCTCTCTACTGAGAAGAACCACTAGAGTTACCTATGACTTGACTAGGCAATTGGCCTTGTTCCCTCCTATTGACTGCTTCAGCTATTTGACCAATCTGGGTCTCTAACTTACTAATGGATTGGGAATGGGAATGGGAATGTAAAAGTTGGGTATTCTGCTCTAAATCCTAGAACCTAGCATTCATGTCGGTTTTTTGTTCCAGCATGGTTTGGGGCATTTGAGCCATCATTGATTCTAGTGAACTAGACACTGGAGTGGGCTGCTGAACGGGAGGTGGGAACATAGGTTGGATTGAAGGTTGCTCCCTATAATTGCCTTACTGATTGGAAGGATTGTTCTTGTATGACATATTATTGGGGACATTCTGAGGTGGTTGTGGCTTCCATGAAAAATTAGGGTGGTTATGCCACCCAGGATTGTGCGTGTTCGAGTACAGATCGTTCTTTCTCTGGAAGCCTTGTGCAACTTGCACTTGCTCCTCAAAAGAGTCAGGGGCAGGTTCCTCAACCGGATGGTCAAGAGTGGAGTGCATGGCAAAAACATCTTGGTTCGCCTTCTGAGATGATTGTGTAGAGGGTTGCCCTTGTATAGATACAAACTGGTCAAATTAGTGGGCCAACACCTCTAGCTTGGAACTAATGCCATCTAACCGTGACACCTCATACACGCCACCCTTCTTGGATGGCTGCCCTGAGATAGGCATTCTAGACGCAGAAATGTGGTGCATTGAATTTTCACTTAAGGTCTCGAAGAGTTGCCATAACTTATTCTTGTCCTTGTGCATCAATGTTCCTCCACAAGAGGTGTCTACCATATTCCTATGCCTCTCGGTTAGTCTATCATAGAAACTACGAACTAATTGCCACCTAGGGACTGCGTGATGGGGACACTTCCTAAGCATTTCCTTCAAACGTGCCCAACTCTCATAAAATTCCTCGCCATCAAGTTGAGCAAAACTAGTAATGGCTTGTCTTATGCTATTGGTTTTACCAATTCGATAATACTTTTTTAGGAATCCTTGTTGCATTTAGGTCCAAGAGATAATGGACCCTGCTGCCAAAGAACTGAGCCACTGTTTGGCTCGATCCTTAAGTGAAAATGGGAACAAAATTAAGAGCACGACATCTTCATTCACATGTTGAAGTCTACCTATGGAGCAAACCTCTAAAAATTCATCTAAGTGCTTGTATGGCTCCTCATTTAAATTCCCATAATAAATTGGCAACAATTGGATGACACTAGTTTTGATCTCATAGTGTTGTGTCTGGACATTGGGGATACGAATACATGAGGGTGAAGTGTAGGTGGTGGGTGCGAAATGTTGGCTAAGGGGCACATGTGCGGGTTCATCCTGGTCAGCCATCCTACGTGCTTGTTTTCTATTCCTCTTACAAGTGCGTTCAATTTCAAGATTCAAAGGTAATAACTCTTCGTTACAAGACCTTCTAGTTTGCATTCACCAACCAAACACACAAAAGGCTCAACAAGCAACGCAACAACAATCTCAAAGAAAATTAACTCAATGCAAAATCTAAGAAACAAATTTTACTAAGCACACGAAACAAAACTAAAACAAATCTAAAATCTAATGAAACTATACCCAACAAAATTTCACACAACAATTATGTTTAATCAAAACTAAATTTATCAATGCAACCTAAAAGAATTTAATACTAAGAACAAAAATTAAATCCTAGGAATAAAAAAAATCAAAGGTTAAGAGAATTTCACAATTGGGTCGTGCAAGATCTTTAATGCTCATGACACGCTGAAGCGTTTTCCCAATTGCAATTTTCCTGCAAAACAAAAACAAACACAAATGAAACTATTCCAATGAAAATAAAATAAAGGAAAGAAAAAAAATGAAATTACGCAAACAACCTAAAAAGAAAATAATTAACTAACAATGCAAATAGACAAACAAAACGGAACACAAAAATTAAACAATTCACTCAAACAAAGTAATCACTACAAAGAAAATAACACAAACAAAAACAAAGACTAAAGTAAACCTAGAATAAAAACTAATGACTACCCAAACACACAAAGTCAAAAGCACGTTGCTCCCCGGCAACGGCGCCAAAATTTTGTCAAACTGGTCATCACGACCACAAAATTAAACCTAAATACCATAGTTAGCGGTAAGCAGGGTCGAATCCACAAGCATAAGACTAACAACCTAATGTATTTTGAGTAGCGGAAATGAAATTGGCAATTGATTAATGAAACTAAACAAACTAAATGCAAATAATAAAACATGAAATTAAAACTAATAAAGACTTTATAATAAAAATGTTGCCGTTACGGTTTTGGTTTGACACGAGACCGACTCACACAATTCTCCTCCACCCTCTACGATCCCCTAAACCTGCAAGGCAAGGTAAATCAATGAAATGTCTTCCCGGCACTATAGGTATAATCTATCTTGTCTCACCCGATCACTCAAGTTCGATTGGTTAAAGACTATCATTGAACGCCAATAAACGCTACAAGGCAATACCACTAGTTGGTACGTGATTAACAAATACAATTTGTCAACACGTATATTCCAATCAACCAACTTCACAATAAACACAACAACAGTAGAAATTAAATTAAATCCGAACATAACTCAATTACAATCGATGCAAAGTAATGAAAAGCAATATTCATCATTTAATTATTTCAAACCAACGTTTATCATTCAGCAATTTCTATGAAAACATTAAATCATAATGGACAACAATATTCATCACAAGTTATGCTCAAATCATATTAAAGTATCGAAATCAAACATGAAACGAAAACAAATATAATTCTGAAGCACAATACTACCAAATGTCCTATAATCGGGCTCATCCAACTAGTCGAGAGCTAATGAGCAGAGTCCTGGAGTCAATCTCGATCTCGCCTATGCCGTAACAGACAACCGAGAACTTAGCCGCTCATAGTGGTAATGACAGAGGCTAAAACGGTGGAAACAAAGCTGATCATGGCGGAGAGGAAGTAACCGACAGCGATATGATGTGAAGAAGGGGCAAAAACGACCAACGAACAGCCCGAAATACGAACAATCACACTCGCTAGAAAATGTTAATTTTCTGACGGATCTTCCAGAAAATGGTGGCAGAAATGGGATCCGAAGGTACCGATGGAAAGCTTTGGTGATGGGGAGTTTAGATCAGATCATGGGGAGGTGAAAAGTCGCCGGAAATGAGCAAGATCTGGGCTGGAAGATGAAGAGTCGCGGTGGCTAGATGGCAGATTTTGGTAGTTTTTGCGACGGTTTTTGCGGCGGTTGAAGCTTGGGATGTGTAGATCCGGCCATGGGGAAGGGAGATCAACCTTTAGGGAGCCCAAACGTTGCCAGAAAATGGCGAAATCTAGCCTGGAATGCGAAGAGTCACGGTGGTGGAAGATGAAACGTCGCAGCGGCGATGATGGTTCTCACGGTGGTGATCCGAGACGATGGAGATGACGATGATCTGGCCACGAGGAAGCCGAACCGTCACCGGAGGTTGCTGGAAAGGAAGATGAAGCGTCGCCGGAAAATGGATGAACAACACCTCCCTTGTACCCAACCTTTCGTTTTCATTTCATAGACAACCTGCAAAATATCACTTTGGTCCCTGCACGATTGAAAATTGACAAAATCAACCCTTGTAAATATGATAGTTTACCCCCAAACAGCATAAATGAGGCAAAGTCACCCCTAATCCATAAACCACAACCTAATATCAACTCATATCCTTTCCAAAATCATCCAAAACACGTTAAATTCATAAGAAAAATATTAGGAAGCGATTTTCGTGAATAAATTCATAAATTCTGTAATTGTCTCAATATACTTCAATTTAATCGCACATGGGGTATTTTTATCACCAAAATAGAGTCATTTTCATGACTCTAACAATAAGCTACATCACAAAAGGTATAAGTGCTTAGCTTCTTTTGGCCATGTCTACATTTGTTAAAGTGTCAAGTTGGATGAGTCAGATTATTTCATAGTTCTGTCAGTTCTACTTCAATTTCACCCACTACATCTTTTAGTCCTGATTTAGATTTATCTTCCTCTACTACCTCAATTTGGCATGTTCCCTCTACAACATTGGACTCTTTTCTTAACTTTTCCCTTGCATCCTCCATCTCACATAGTCCTATTGCACAAGTTCAATTGGAAACATCAATCATGACATTTTCCAGCCCACTTTTGTCTCCGACCAAACCAAATAAGTCTTTCCCTACCTCGATATCTTCTAGTCCAAACTGTGTCACCAAATTCAATTACTAAATCTGTGACCATTGCTTCCAATAACTCATATCACACTGTCCCACTCACTGTAGATTTGCCTTTAGTAGCACCTCTTCCTCCTAACACAACTACAAACACTCAACTTGTAGATTAACCCTTAGCAGCACCATTACCTCCTGACACAAAAAAAAAAACAGTCACCCTATGATAACTAGAGCCAAAGCCAAAGCTCATAACATTGCCTTACTATCTTCCTTATCCCTTAACACTAAGGAACCAATCACTGTGTCAGAAGCACTCTCTCATCCATCCTGGAAGGCTACTATGCAAGCTGAATATGATGCATTAATGTCTAATCATACTTGGAAACTTGTCCCAGTCACTTCCGAGATGCATCCAGTAGGTTGCAAGTGGGTTTTCAAAGTTAAAACTAATCCAAATAGGTCTATTCGGAGGTTTAGGGCCAGGTTAGTTGCAAAAGGATATCAGTAGACTCCTGAGGTAGATTATCTAGAAACATGCAGTCCTGTAATCAAGTCTCCAAATATTCGAGTAATTATGAGTTGGGCAATAAGTTTTGGATGGGATATTCAGCAAGTTGATATTAATAATGCCTTTTTGAATGGGGACCATAGTGAAACAGTATATATGGTTTAGCCTGAAGGTTTTGTGAGTACTGAACATCCACATCATATTTGTCAATTAACCAAAGTGTTTTATGGTCTTAAACAGGCTCCTAGGGCCTAGTTTGGTAAACTTAAACAGACATTTCTTGGTTGGGGCTTTGTACACTCCCTAGCAGATCCTAGTCTCTTTGTGTATCAAAATCAAGGCAGAATGATGTATGTTTTTGTTTATGTAGATGATATATTGCTAACAGGGAATGACTCCAGCCTAGTTCATCAAACAATTAATGATCTTAACAATTAGTTTGCTTTAAAAGTCTTAGGCTCCCTCAAATATTTCCTTGGTTTTGAGGTGACAAGGAATGAGAAAAGTCTTCATATGAGCCAAGAAAAATACATTAAAGATTTGCTAGTTAAAACAAAAAGGATGGATTGCAAGCCCTGCACTACTCCCATGGTTGTGGGAACTCAACTCACTCTTAAAGACAGTGAAAGTTTTAATACTCTAGCCCTATATAGGAGTACAATTGGTGCCTTGCAGTATTTGACACTATCCAAACTTGATATCTCTTACTCTGTGAACAAACTTAGCCAATTCCTTAAAGCTCCAACTCAGTTGCATTGACAAGCATGTAAGAGGCTGCTTAGATATCTCAAAGGCACCTCCAATTTTGGCCTTCAATTCAATGCTAGCAACAAACTTAACTTGGCTTGTTATACAGATGCTGATTGGGCAAATAATATCATAGACAGAAGATCAACTAGTGGCTGTTGTGTTTTTCTTGGATCTAACCTGATTCAATGGACTTCAAGAAAGCAAAAAGTGGTGGCTCTTTCCTCCATAGAGGCGGCCCAGCCCAAGGTGCAACTGAAGTGGCCTGGTTTTGAGTCTTTTTTTAGAAATTGGTCTTCACTTGCCTAAGATTCCTGTCATCTAGTGTGACAACCAGGGTGCTAGTTCACTTGCTTCTAATACTGTCTTCCATGGCAGGACCAAGCACATTGAGCTAGATGCTCACTACATCCAAGAATACGTTACAGCCAATAAACTTAAGGTGCAATATGATCCAACTGAGTATCAAAAGGCAGACATATTTACTAAAGCACTTTCAACTTCCAAGTTTGAAATACTTCAGGAAAAATTCACTATCAAAGGATTAAGTGGTTCTA